CTCAATATCGAGTTCAATAATTTTAGGGCCTAAACTTTCCCATGTCCTAGCCCCCTACCCAACACACCAGGCCTTGTTATCGCATAGCCTGCCATTACACACTGCCTATTGTCGGTCACTAACAGTCCCCATTAACAGCTTTTCACCCCCCCTAGCCAGATCATTATCAGCTCCTTTGTCTATCCCACTACTCTTCTCTCTCTTTGGGATCTATCCTATCGTTACTCCCTACCCCATCCCCCTCCCTATTTTCTGCACATCAACTGACATTTTCCCAGCTACCATCAGTTCTGAGGAGGGTCGCTGAACCCGAAACGTTAACTCTTTTTTTTCTTCACAGATGCTGCCAGACCTGCTGAGCTTTTCCAGCAACTTCTGTTTTTCTTTCCAATACATATCTGGAAGAAAATGGTCTAAAACTAAGTGAGATAAAATTAAAAACTCCTGCACAAAATGATCCATATAATGCTCCAGGAGCCATTTGTTGAGTTGTGTGTATGTTTATGTGACAGCATCAACAGAAATGACAAGATTCAAAAAGCTATCAAATCAGACTAAATACATTGGCTGACATCACAACCTGCCCAGCTTACATGCCTCCAGGACTCACACAGAATGCCCATGATTCACCCGCTGTAACCTGGCAATTAGGGTGAGCCCTGCCAGAACTCATCAGGAGTAGACCCACGTCAGATTTACTCTCCATGTGCCAAAACCTGTGGTGCAACTGATCTTATTCTGGAGCCCTTTAAAATTTTCGTGGCAAATCCTTTGACATTATCAGAATTCATTGAGTGTGTTATAGAGTCATAGAGATATACAGCACAGAAACAGACGCTTTGGTCAAATTGTCCATGCCGACCGGATATCCTAAATAAATCTAGTCCTATTTGCCAGCATTTGGTCCATATGCCTCTAAACCCTTCCTATTCATATACCCATCCCGATGCCTTTTAAATGTTGTAATTGTACCAGCCTCCACCACTCCATCTGGCCAATCATTCCATACATGCACCACCCTCTGTGAGAAAAAGTTGCTCCTGAGGACCCTTTTCTATCTTTCCCCTCTCACCTTCAACCTATCCCCCCTAGTTTTGGATTACCCCACGCCAGGGTAAAGACCTTGGCTATTCACCCTATCTGTGCCCCTCATGATTTTATAAACCTCTATAAGGTCATCCCACACCCCTGCTGCCCCCACCCTCCGATGTTCCAGGGAAAAAAAAACCCAGCCTATTTAGCCTCTCCCTATAGCTCAAACTCTCCAATCCTGGCAACATCCTCATAAATCTTTTCTGAACCCTTTCTAGTTTCACAACGTCCTTCCTATAGGAGGGAGACCATAATCGCATGCCATACCCCAAAAGTGGCCGTGAATGTTGTGACTTGCATTAATCATCCTGATTCCATACAGTCACAAAAGTCAGTTGTAAACCGTAATAATCTCCTTATAGTTCTTGTTGCGTAATGTCTCACAGCTAGCACGCAGTATACCACAAAAGAGACATGCTCGAGAATCAGCACCATATCGTAGCAACTGACTTGCTGATATAAAAGTCTCAAGCTTCATCTTACTGGAGCCACTTGCAGTGTGACATGTTGAGGGAAGTTTGCTGTAGTTTGTTCAGTACCAGCCCAGTGAATTGCGCAGTACTAGCCCAGACATGGCAATGCTTGTATTATATATGTAGATGTCTAGACCTGTTATAAATGTCTACTAATTCTTGCAGTACTCTGTTCCCTGCAGAGTTCTTAGGTTACAGAAACTAATATAAACCTTCTGCCTTATTAGATACAAATCTTGCTGAAGACCAAGTGTCCATCACTGCACCTATAGCAGTTAGTGAGGGCAGATCAGGTCATGGCTGATCAAACTGACCTGATATATTTTTTTAAATGTACAAATATCCAGATGTACTCTTGTCTAATCCTGCTGTCTTCTTTTCATCAGCCTTATTAGATTCAATATTTCTTAATTGGATTTTGTTTGAACAACTGATATTCCGCTAAATTTAATAAAGCGGAAGCTTTCTGTCTTTAGAACACTTCCCCAATAAAAAGAAATAATATTGAGCATATTATTCAATGTTAGTTTCCACATAAGGATACAATCAATACATTTTTATAGCAGTTTCCATTTCTAATTTTTTTTAATATTAAAGGCTAATAAGATTGTCCAAATTGCTTAGCATGTGGGCCAGAGCTGAATAATACAATCATCTTTTAATGATGTCTTTCATTATAAAGGGATCTTTAACCAGGTTAATTCTGAGGTACTTTTTAAAAATTGTGAACCATGGATTTATGAAGTTTTATAAGTTTGTTAAGGTAAAAATACAAAGCAGACGTTGAAAGAATCTGGAACTGAATTATTAGAAAATATGGTCCTAATTTAAACCCAGACCACTTCTCAGCAGATGAGAAGAAGGAATTTTAATCTGAGGCATAAGCCTCAGATCCAGGAGCCAAACAAATGTGATCCATTGCCTCCCATGCTCCTCCACACCCTGATTTCCCATCTCATTCCTGCATGAAGCCCAAGAGATCGTGATGCATTCTTTTACGTGCTCACTACCACCTTCTCATGGGCAGTTAGGGTTAGATTCTAACTGCTGGCCTAACCAGCGACACCCACAACTCATGACTTAATCTCAAAAACAACGCTCCAACACAGTACTGGAGCTGCTGTGAGCACAATGCTCCATCATCGGTGTTGTTTAGCACGTTCATTGCTCTTCAGTTATAGGCCCATGTAGTAATGAGTCATATTTGTTGTGGGAATGAAGATGGGTTTCACTTGCAAGATGCTATTTGTGATCCATGCCTCTTTGAGAAAGGAAGAGTCAGCCACGTTGTTGCTAGACAGGAATCATGTATTTGTCAGACCACAACTATATTTGGACAGATAGACTGAGCGAAGCAATTCCACAACCCACAGGTCAGATCGAAATTCTACAGCCCTGACACATCCAGTCATGAATGATGGTAGACAGTTAAACAACGAACGGGAGGATGAGGAGGGCCCCCAAATATTGATAGCACATTAGGTACAAAAACAAAGGAAAACCATTTGCATCCATCTTTAGCCAGAAGTGTCAATTGGATGATCCATTGTGGCCTTCTCCTAAAGTTGCCAGCATCACAAATGCCAGCCTTCAGCCAATTTGATTCACTCCATATGTTATCAAGAAATGGTTAAAGGTGGTAGATATTGCAAAGGTTTGGGGCCCTAACAACATCTCAGCAATAGTACTGAAAGCTTGATGTTCAATACGCATTGGTTTAATACAGTGCAAATGAAATCTGAACACCAGAGGTTGACATACATTAATTGGAACATCTCTTGGCAAGTATTAATGTAACTTTCTCAGTTTTCTTCAGTCAAAGATACTAACTCAGGATTTTGACTTACTTCACTGTACATGTACAACTTTTCAGCAACCATAACTTTCAGATTCTCCAATTCAAACATCCAACTTATATAAACACCCCCACTAATACAACCATAATATCACATTTCTAATGCTGCAACAAAATAACAGTAAGGTGACATATTATAATTTACAGGACAAATAGTCTAACAGTGGGAGTAACAATGGGTGCCATGCTTTATGAAGTACATGAAAGTTTTGGATAACATGCAGCAAAGTATTACTCAAATGGTTCTGGAGATAAGGGAATACTATGTGGACAGACTGGAGAAGCTGGAGTTATTTTCCTTACAGCACTAAGTGGTGAAGTAACAAGGTGTATAAAATAATGAAGTGTTTAGACAGAGTGAATAAAAATAGAGAGTTTCTAAGGGCTGAAGGGTCAATAAATAGAGGGCTCAATTTAAAAGGAAAGCAGCAAAAGAAATAGGCATGACATAAGCAAAAGAATTGTTTCAGTACAGAAGGAAACCATTCAGCTCGTCAGGAGCAATGCACTTAGTGGAATTCCCCTACATTGTCCCTATAACCCTAACTATTCATCCTTTTCAGCTAACATTCTCATCACCTTTTGAAACTTTTGGTTGCCTTCACCACACTCTCAGGCATTGCATTCCATACCTTAATCACTTGCTGCATGAAAACTTTTGAGGAAAAGCTTCTTAAAGTGCACATTTGTAGAATTTGGAATGCGGTGCCTGATATAAAGGTAGTTACAGATTTGATAGCAACATTCAAAAGGGTAATTTTTGAATGAAGAAATTTGCAAGGTTACAGGGAAAGACCAGGAAAGTGAAATTAGCCAAATTACTCTTTAAAAAAGATGACACTGTCACAATGGGTCAAAACAGCCATAATCTGTGTTATAACATCCAATGATTCTATACTACCACTTAGAGTAACAATATTCTTTATATTCATAAGACTACAATTATTTGCTGTTAAATGTATCCAGTATAATGCTGTGTTCATTTATTTATGCACGGAGAATATTTATTTCTGGTTAACATTCTGAACTGACAACCATATCACACAACCAGTACATTGCGCCAAAGATTCTCAAAGTACAATCATTGCACCAAATTAATTTTAAATCTTCTACAATATAAGCAAATACTATGCTATAAAATCTGCAAAAACAGTAATCTCACTGATATATTACCATTATATTAGTCTAAATATTAAAAAAAATCATTTGCCTACATTCCAATATCAGATGTTAGTTTTACATTTGTACTGAGTATTAAAACGGAAAACAACTTCCATTAAAGGATACTCTAAATATCCCCAGGGGATTCACTAAGTAACAGAAGAGAAATAATCAGTGAACCAAAGAAAATGAGGGGGTACAGATGTAATTAAAAGGTTGATCAGAAAAGCAGCTGCAAGTATGGTACTTAGGTTGGGAGAGAGTTCAAGAGGTGAGGTTTTAATGGAGAGAATTCCAGACCTTGGATTTGGTTGACTGAAAACTGTTAGTTGTGATAGTGTGAAGGAAGATGGGAATACACAAGAAGAAGGTACAATAAAGTGATTCTTGGCCAGTTTCTATGTTTTTGTTGCACTTACCACTGTTGGTGCATTTACTACTGACAGGTTATAACCGTACAAAAACGATGAGCCAAGAGCTCCAACCAATGAAGCAACCACAAGATGGCATGTCAATCTCTGGGGAGAGAAAATATCCTGTTAAAACATCTTCCGTGTTTTAACAGCCTCTAATTGTTTTAAGTTTCCAAATAGATTTTAAAGTTATTATATTTATGCATTAGTTGTTATTAAATTTCTATTCACTAAATATAAATACATACTTACACATCATACTCTGATAAACAGTACTTATCTGGAATCTATGTTTCAATATTATCTACAAA